AAGGTTCGCACCTTGTGGAGGCTGTGCACCCGCAGCAGCAGTTGCTGTTGCTGCTGCAGCTGCTGCTGTTGCTCCAAGGTGTGCGGCCAGGAGTGACCCTGCCCATGGGGACACTTCCTTGTTGCTGCTGCTGCCGTTGCTGCTGTTGCTGCTGCAGCCGCAGCAACAGCTGCTGCTGCTGCACTGCTAATGGGGAAGACTGTTGCGCTGTTTGCTGCAGCAGCAGCAGCGGCAGCAGCTGCCTCTCCGCATTGCTGCAGAGTGCCCTCGCGGCGCCCATTGCGAGCAGCAGCAGCAATAAAACTAGTTACAGCAGCAGCAGCAGCAGCAGAAGCCGCTGCTGCTGCTGCTGCTGCTGCAGTTGCTGCTCGGCATGGGAGGCCTAGTGAGGCATGTCTCTCCGCTGTCTTCTACACCGCAGCAAACGCTGTCCCCCCAAACCCTAAACCCTAAACCCTAAACCCTAAACCCTAAGCCTCTGAGAAAGATTTCATTTGTAAATGAGCCGGAAGCCAGACAGCTGCTCGTATGAAGGGCTTCGATTGCCGCGCGCTGCAGCAGTAGCTGCAGCAGCAGCAGCAGCAGCAGCAAACGACTCAATCACTTGATGACTTGCTGCTCTTGCAGCATATTTGCACTTATTGATGTACTTCTGCTGCTCCTCTTACTCAATTTGCAGCCGAAGGAGCAGTTGCTGCTGCTGCTGCTGCTGCTGCTGGCACCGGTCCACTGTGCATGCGAGGACCCTTCAGCAGCAGCAGCAGCACCAGCAGCAGCACTAGGATCTGCAGCAATAAAAACAAAGACCCTTATCGCTGCAGCCTCTGCTGCTGCTGCAGAAGGGTATCAGCAGCAGCTGTGTGCGAGGCGGCAGTTTGCTGCTGTTTGCATGCGCTGCCCACTTGGCTACATCCCCTTCATCAGCAGTTGGGATTTATCTAATAGCTACAACAGCAGCAGCAGCAGCACCAGCAGCAGCAGCAGCATCAGCAGCAGCAGCAGACCCAGCAGCAGCAGCAGCACCAGCAGCAGCAGCAACAGCGGGCTCCCCAGGCCTCTGCTCCTCGAAGGATGCCTCCTCATTCGGGGGGGTTAAGCGAGAGCCCCTCCAGCCCCGCAGCAGAAGCAGCAGCAGCAGATGCTGCTGCTGATGATGATGAGTTTGCTGCAGATGAAGAGGAGCTTGAAGAGCTTGAAGCAGCAGTAGAAGCAGCAGACGAGCTGCCACCCTCCCCGTCTGAGTTTGCTGCCGACTGGGAAGACGCAGATGCACCAGCAGCAGAAACAGAAGCAGCAGCAGCAGCAGCAGCAACAGCTGCTGCTGCTGCTGCTGCTGCTGCAGGTGGGGAGGGCTGCTCCTTGGACGCAGTGCTTGGCTTGGGTGAGGAGGCGCTGCTGCAGCAGGAGGATCAGCAAGAGGAGATCGAAGGAGACGAGCAGCAGCTGGAGGCACAACTGCAGCA